TAACCTACGTGCTGTAAAAATAGTGATCCATCACCTTACTAAACCATCAACAAATACTAACCTATTGATATGTTTAGTAATATTTTTTTGGGGTGACGCTCTATTTCCCCCTGAGAAGTATCATATATCATCAATTCAACACAGTCTTTAAGCCACATTCTATTTCTCCACAAATACAAAATTCGCACCCCCGTTCTCCCCGATTACAAAGATCGAACTCTATATTTCCACATCGTCAAAGTTATAAACCGAAACAGACAGACAGTCAGGATAAACTCGGTTTTCTGTTCATAATTAAACCATAACCCATTGTTGCCCAATCGAAATCATGATTAAACCAAAATTATTCATTTAAGATCTGATTAAATTTGATTTAAACCCGATTAGCACCCAAATTTCAAATAGTTTAACCCGAAAAAAAATCTTCAATTGCTTTCAGTTACACCAAAAACCCTAAAAACTATTGAAATGGAGGAAACAAAAAATTGAAGAGTTGGGACACCCACGATCTGTCTCTTTGGACGCACCATTGAGCCACTTGAAGCTCCAGAAAAATCACTCATCTTTCAATTTCTCTTCTCTCTCTCACACAAATGGATTTCTCCAATCAAGTTTTTAGGGTTTGTAGCAAAACAAGTTTCTGAAATTAAGATTTTTTTAAGTTTTAAAGACTAGGGATCGGGTTAAAACAATGCTTTCGGGTCATAAATCAGATTTTTAACTGGGTTTGGTTATGTCTGAAATAAATTTATTTCGGTTTAATAATGGTTCACCCACATAAACCATTAAATTTGACGATGTGGAGATATAGAGTTTGATATTTGTAATCGGGGAGAATTGGAATGTGAACTTTGTATTTATGGGGAAATAGAATGTGGCTTAAAGTTTGTGTGGAACTGGTGATATATGATACTTCTCAGGTGGAAATAGAGCGTCACCCCTATTTTTTTACACAAAATTATTTTCTAAATGTAATAATATTTTGATTAGATCTGGGGTAGTATAACGAGATTTAGATACGTTAGAAATAAATATTAAATAATAAATATTAAATATTTTCTACAAATAATTCATAGATATTTAAATCTTATTATGATTAATTTTATTGTTGAATATAATCAATAGTAACTGAGATAGCTTGCTCAACTCAGCTCGGCTCATGATGAGCTCGGGTCTTTCATGAGCTAGCTCAGCTCAGTTCATTTATTATATGAGCTTCCATATACAAACTTGAATTCAGATCATCTAGATCATGAGTTAAATGAATTAACTCACGATATAAAATAATAAAAATTATAAAAATATTAAAATTTTAAAATCCAAAGCGTAAATATTTAAATACAGAAAAAAACAAAACCTAATAATATATTAAATAAAAACTTAATTAGTGATCTAAAAATATATTCTACATAAGAGTCTTGTCATGATTCATATTTAAACACTTTATCTATTCAAGTCATAAAAATATATATTGTGCGTGAAAGTGTTAGGAATATTTAGTTTTATATTTTAGTTATAAATATATATGATATAAGGATTTATATCAATATTCTTTTACATTTTAATATATATTTATTACTTTTTGGTTTTATATTTTAATTTTATTAGTTAAATATGATTAATATAAAAACTATTGTTTCTTACATAAGAAAAATAAAAGTCATTCATATATATATATATATATATATATATAAACTATAAAATAACCAAACTCATGTAAATTAGTTTATGTTCATTAAAGATCGTTCATATAACTCATGATCTAATTAAACTTGATCATTAAACTCATTTATTATATGAATCTAAAAAATAGAGATCATGTTCAGGAAAAATCGAGCTGAGCTGAACCAGCTCATGAGATATAGCTCATTTTGACACCCTTACATCCATATGAGCCCTAAAGTTTAAAGTATCTATTGTAAATATACAATTTCTTCAAGAAAGTAGATTTCAAAAATAAAAGATTCAGTTGTAAAGCGTATATACTAGAAGACCATGTCATTATACACCCCAACTTGTTTAACTTTGTATGTATGTTAATTTATTTTATATAGCAAAATCGCGACCGAATATCCATATATAGATGTCTTTTATTCATAGTGCAATATAAAGTACAACAAAAGTTAATTGAAAAATCAAAATTTTCTTCTTCTTTTCCATTAAATGGCTTTTTAAAACCTAAAGCTATTTGTTTTGAACAAAAAACCTAAAGCTATTTGACAACAGTATAACTAAAAATGTGTGCGTAATGTTAAACCTAAAGTTTCTTTTAAGCAAAAAAAAAATAAAAATAAACTAAAAATGTGTGCGTAATGTTCCACGTTGATGTACTCTATAGAAAAGTCTCTATGTCTGTCCCCTTTATAAACTGCACACACATTGATCCTTCATAAGCAAATATCAAAGCCAAAAAATAAATAATATTCACATTCTCTCTCAAACTATAGAGATGGAAAAGAACGTACCAATAAGCAAGAAGCTATGGAACATCGTACGTTTTGTCATGTACATGTTACACAAAGGCATCTCAAAGCAAAAGCTCCTGTCCGACTTTAACGCCACTCTCAAACGCGGCAAGAATCTCATCTTCCACAACCGCCGCCGCGTCCCAGCCACCGCCTCTTCCCAACCGCGGAAAGAATACGAGTTTAGCTGCAGCGACACTCCAAACTACTCATTCCCCTTTAACATGGCCGCCGCTTTCAAGAAGAAGAAGAGTCACAACATTAGTCTCTTCGCTTGTGGTCAAGCGCCACCGACCCTCGACGACGACACCTCCGCCTCCTTAGCCGTGCTTGAGCTTCTCAACGGCAACGGAGAACAAGAACGTGGCAGTAAGACGCAGGCTTTGTCTCCTTATAACTTGCCCTGGTTTGGACGGAGTTCACCGTCAGTGAGACCTCTACGTGTGACGGACTCACCGTTCCCGTTACGGGAAGATGGTGATGTAACTAACGGACATGTGGACAAAGCAGCCGAGGAGTTTATAGTGAAGTTTTACAAGAACTTGAATCAGCAAAAGAAGATTGAGTTCTCACCTAATTAATAGATGTTCTTTTTTCATGTCTCTTCCTAAATATTTTCTCTCTATTCTGCTAATTTGGTTCCCAAGATGTAATAAATATTTTTGGTACGAGGGTTTGGGGATTGTTTTCTCATATCTTGATTAAATTGGATTTATCATAAATAAAAGTTTACTTATTTGTTTTGTCCGCGCATATAGACATAAATATTTACAATTATTTGTTAATAGATACATTATTAATTAAAAGACTATATTAATAACTTTTTATTTATGTTTCATTTGAAAGTTCTTACGTAATATAATATTTTTGAAGTTTAATTTTATATGGCGAATATGATTGTTTAATTTATTTTAATAATATAAATTAAACAAAATTGATAAATGATATAAAAATTGTTATCAAATCTTTATTATTCAAAATTATTAATTTCAATATATATTTTAAGTATATTAGGTGATTTTATAGTTTTATTTATGGAAAGCAAAACAAAATATCTTTTATTAATAATTAATTTATGATCAGTTTAATAAAAACTATAGTATATGTTTGCATGGACCAACTTAATTTTTAGTGATTCTAAAATTCATTTTAGTGATGATATATATCATATGTAAAATATTGTAATGCTTCTCTTTTATTATATTAGGGATTAGGTGAACATTCTCGACATCAATTTAGAAAGGATTATAGATAACTATATAACAGAATATGTTGTCCAAAATTTTGGAATTTTTTAACAAATGAGTTCAAACACATTTTGAACAAAAACATTTTTTTTGATGAAAGAACAAAAACATTTGCGGTACGAATGTTTGACATTATAACTATATACGCTAAATATGTATTCATATACGTATATGTGAAATTATGAAAATTTTGATATCAGTTGTTTTCTTAAATTTTGTTCTTTATGCATCCAGAAAAAGTCGAAACTAAAAAATTCAAGTTTACTAAAAAAAATGATTCTATAAATTGAATACCGATTCCGCGATCATGTTGACTTGGCATTTGCTTCCCCGTGGGATGTGGAATCGAGCTCTGATCTTCGTCCACGCCTCATTCTACTCGGACTTGAATTGTAACACATATATACTATACCCTGTTGATGCAGAACGTTAATCTTCTCAAAAATCTCTGGCTTAAGAACGTTATTTGGTTTTACACAGCGTATGTAGTGCGGCTCTGTAATTATTGTTCAACACATGATGTTTCATTGTTGAGTCATAAATGTTTTTCAAGACAAGATTGGTATAATATGTTAGAAGATTTTGATCGTTTGATGGAAGAAGGAATACAAGAGAGAGTCTATTAACCATTCATTCAGTTTGATAAAAAAAACCATTCATTTCCTGCAATCAACACACTAATATACAATAAACTCCACCTCAGCTGAAGTTTATTGTGTAGTTACCATCCACATGAACCCTAAAGTTTAAAGTATCAATTATAAATATACAATTTCTTCAAGAAAGTAGATTTCTAAAATAAAAGATTCAGTTGTAAAGCGTATATACTAGAAGACCATGTCATTATACACCCCAACTTGTTTAACTTTGTATGTATGTTAATTTATTTTATATAGCAAAATCGCGACCGAATATCCATATATAGATGGCTTTTATTCATAGTGCAATATAAAGTACACCAAAAGTTAATTGAAAAATCCAAATTTTCTTCTTCTTTTCCATTAAATGGCTTTTTAAAACCTGTTTTGAACAAAAAACCTAAAGCTATTTGACAACAGTATAACTAAAAATGTGTGCGTAATGTTAAACCTAAAGTTTCTTTTAAGCAAAAAAAAAAATAAAAATAAACTAAAAATGTGTGCGTAATGTTCCACGTTGATGTACTCTATAGAAAAGTCTCTATGTCTGTCCCCTTTATAAACTGCACACACATTGATCCTTAGTCCATAAGCAAATAGCAAAGCCAAAAAATAAATAATATTCACATTCTCTCTCTCTAACTCTAGAGATGGAAAAGAACGTACCAATAAGCAAGAAGCTACGGAACATCGTACGTTTTGTCATGTACATGTTACACAAAGGCATCTCGAAGCAAAAGCTCCTCGCTGACTTCAACGCCACTCTCAAACGCGGCAAGAATCTCATCTTCCACAACCGCCGCCGCGTCCCAGCCACTGCCTCTTCCCAACCGCGGAAAGAATACGAGTTTAGCTGCAGCGACACTCCAAACTACTCATTCCCCTTTAACATGGCCGCCGCTTTCAAGAAGAAGAAGAGTCACCACATTAGTCTCTTCGCGTGTGGTCAAGCACCACCGACCCTCGACGACGACACCTCCGCCTCCTTAGCCGTGCTTGAGCTTCTCAACGGCAACGGAGAACAAGAACGTGGCAGTAAGACGCAGGCGTTGTCTCCTTATAACTTGCCCTGGTTTGGACGGAGTTCACCGTCAGTGAGACCTTTACGTGTGACGGACTCACCATTCCCGTTACGGGAAGATGGTGACGTGGCTAACGGACATGTGGACAAAGCAGCCGAGGAGTTTATAGTGAAGTTTTACAAGAACTTGAATCAGCAAAAGAAGATTGAGTTCTCACCTAATTGATAAATCTTCTTTTTCATGTCTCTTCCTAAATATTTTTCTCTCTATTCTGCTAATTTGGTTCCGAAGTTGTAATAAATATTTTTGGTACGAGGGTTTGGGATTATTTTCTCATATCTTGATGAAATTGGATTTATCCGGGTTCAAATCCCACTGGCCACACGGATATGGGTTATTGCTTTCGACCCATTTGAATACCCAGGAGAGGGTCTATCTGTGGGCTGTACCTCCACCCGGGGGTTAGGTCTGTGTCTTTAATAGACCCGGGTTTAACCCTTTTATCTTAAAAAAATAAAAGTTTACTAGGTGACCAAAATTTTGAAATTTTTAACAAATGAGTTCAAACACATTTCGAACAAAAACATTTGCAGTACGAATGTTTGACATTATAACTATATACGCTAAATATGTATTCATTTACGTATATGTGAAATTATTAAAATTTTGATATCAATTGTTTACTTAAATTTTGTTCTTTTATACATCCAGAAAAAGTCGAAACTAAACATTCAAGTTTACTAAAAATAATGATTCTATAAACTGAATACCGATTCCGCAGATCATGTTGACTTGGCTCCATCTTTATGTTTCTTTCTCTCGACTGTAATCCGGAAACTATATATATTACTTTGGGTTTAATTTATATATATTACAAGTGTTACTGACAGCAAAAACGTTTTAATACATTCCTCTATTTACATATAGACAATCTTTATCAAATTTTGAAATCATGAGGTGTACTACTTTGTTGTTGGTTTCTTGTGTTTTTATATTTTACATTCTGAGTCATGGTAAAGGTAACAACAAAGTGTTCTTTTTTCCCTTGATTGTTAACAATAAAAATGGCGTTTGAAAGAAAAATGAAACCAACCAAAGAGCAAGTCTAGAACATGGCTTAAATTTTCAATCGTTATACTACAATTTCTTTTTTTTTCGGAATAACCTAACAATGTATTTTTTGTTGATAAAACTAAATAGAGGGAGACGCTAAAGACACTGATTGTTGGGATTATATCACATTCGGTGAAGGAAAATGCGGCATCCACGGAAACAAGAAATGCATCGAAGAAATGCGTTCAAACAACGAAACTGCAAATATACGCTATCGTAGTTGCAAATGTACTATCACCGGATTCTGGAAGACACTACATTCATGCTATTGTCGAAGGGCTGATCCCTCTAATTGCTTATAGAAATCTATACAAATTTCGGCCAATCAATACCAAGACATATTCACTGATAAACTCAAAAAGAAAATTGGGTTAGAGAGTTTTTTTTGGGTGTTTATCTGATGTCTGCTTTTAATTATGTTACGTTTTGTCATAGTAAATCTAATAAAATTGATTATGACGGAGTGTATTGTATCTCATTCAGTTTGTTTTGTTTGTGCTCAACATTTCAAAATAAGAGATACTTGGGGTGTTATATATATTCTTTTCGGGACTCTCGTCCGCATATATACATAATATATCTTATAAATCTCTATAGTAGTCCAGTGATTACTGAAATGGGCTATTCACTTGGCTCTTTATATATGATTATTGCATAAATTAGAGTAAAAACATACTTTTGTGTAATTAATTAAAAGCGTACGTACGTGAAGGATGCTGTTAAGAAGGCTGCTCAAATTATGACGGCTGCGTTATGATATATACCTGGTAATGATATATATATAATCGTGCATGTAACAAGAAAAAAAAGCTTCTTTCAAAGAATGAAAAAAAATCGGGTGTACGTCGTAAAGCCGTAGAGGGCCAATGCAATTGCATGCAAGCTGTTTGGCTCTTTCCTTAATGCAAAAGAAAGGACAAAGTAACCTTATTATTTTGTTTTTTCCGTTTCAACCTTTTTCTTTAACTTTCCTTTTCAATTTTTATGTTTGATATTTGAAGTTTGAACAGTGAGAAACTCTATTCGCTGTGTTTCACTATTTGAACTCTTATTAAAGTCATAAAGGCTACAAACTCTACCACCAATTATAAAATTTTATTTTTCTTTCAGTGAAAGTGACTATTTCAATGACATCTATTTATTAACATAAACAGTAACAACGTATTTTTGACCGGGGGTAGTTATCAAAAATATCACAGACTAATAATCAGGACCGGTCCTGAAATTTTGAGAGCTTGAAACAAAATTAAAAGTGGGGACCTATATATTACATTACAAAAAATAAACTCCTAAACATAGTTTGAAATATGAAGTAAATCACCGATAAAACATAAGTTTTTCACAAAAAAATGAATCAATAGTTTACATTTTCTGTAAAATACTTCTTCTTGCATTTTTTCTGCAAAGTCATTCATCAAACTTTGATAGTCAAGGTTCCCAACCATATCTCTCTCAATCGACAGCATTACCAAACCATTTAGTCGATCTTCTGACGTACTTGACCGCAAGTAAAATTTTATTAACTTTAACTTGAAAAAACTTCTTTCAGCTGAAGCGACTGAAACTGAAATCGTCAACATCAATCAAGAAAACATCAGTCTATATGCAAGAAATGTATTTGGATAGTAGCAAACTTCATACCTTTTTATAAAGTTTAACACATCAATAACCTTTTTATCTCGCCTGGTAATACATTTTTTAAGACCATGAGTTCAAGGAATAAATGGTTTCTATCAATGTCTGAGATCTCACCATGTTTCAGACAACCTTCAAGGTTAATACATGATGCCTTTAAGCCATCATCTGATGCAGCTCTCAACTTCTTTAGATCCAACAAGAATCCCAAAAAAATCTCATATTCTTCAAATTGTTCAAACCTCATCTGAAGAGATACTATAGCTTGATCCACGATTCTTAGAAAAAAAATCAACCTTAAACTTATTTTCCCCACTCAGCAACTCAGACTCATCGACTCCTTGTGTCTCCTCATCAAAATGTTTTTTTTTTCTTTTAATAATGCGCTTTCGTTGAACAAGAAAATTTGGCACAATATCCATTGATTCTGCAATAACCACAGCTTCTGCTTTTGCTTTTTCAAACCCAAATTCTCTGTGGTTATTCAGATAAGAAACCAACCCTTTCAACAGAACAACAACATTATCAATATCAATATGCTCTGATTGCAACACCTTACTTACTATATTAACAACTAACAGAAGATCATACCAAATGACCAGAGCAAATAAGAACTCAAAGCCTCCAATTCCATTAGTTTCAGCAAGAGATTCAGCATTGCTGCGAGCTTCAGGATCATCACAATTTTCTGCCAAGTAGTCCAACGCATCTCTTATTTTTGGAGCCTGAAAACAAATTGCTCGAACACTTTCAACACGATTTTCTCAACGAGTTTTTGATAATGAATTAAGTGTGAGACCTCTTACCATCTCCTTAAATATCTCCCACCTATTTGTAGATCCCGAAAATAAATTATATATCCGCTGAATGATTCCAAAGAAAGCAATACCTTTTTAGATGATTTAACCATATTGGAAAGTGCCAAGTTAAGACTAGCTATGACAACCACAAGGCGTAAAAAATGCTCTTGAGTTGATATCCAGCAATCTTTTATGTACTCCTTTGTGTTTTCCCTTCATATTAGATCCATTGTCATAGCCTTGCCCTCTCACATCATCAATGCTCAAATTGAGACCAGCCAATGTATCACAAAGCAACTCAAAAAGTCCTTCTCCAGATTTATCTGCAACTTCTAAGAACGTTACAAAAAATTCTTCAACTTGTGTTTTAGCCATGGAGACATTCACACATATGATAACAAGACTCATCTGTTCTTTATGACTCTTATCTGGAGTGCAATCAAAAATAACTGAAAAATACTTTGCCTCTTGAATTTTATTGATGATCATAAGCTTAACCTCCTGTCCTAGCATAACAATCAGCTCATCCTGAATCTTGTGGCTTAAATAATGATAGTGAGTCTGGTCTTCCTTTATTCGTCTGATATGCTCTTGCATGATTGGATCAAAAATTCCATATGATTCAATAAAACTTAGAAAGTTTCCACTGTTTTTCTAACCAAACTTCTCATTAGTCCCACAAAATGCTATATTCTGCTTAGCAAGAGTTGTTACCAATGAAAATATTCTCGACAAACTTCTCTCCAATGGTTTCTTTCTTTATTGATTTCTTCCTGAAGATGCTTATCAATGGTCTGTTTCTTCCTTAATCTCAACTCTAACTCCATCCACTTACTCATACACACAATATGGTGATAACTAGTTTCATGTTGACTCAGCCTTAGCCTGATATTCTTCCAATCATTAAATCATTTACTTGAAAACTGGTTGACTTCTTGATCCCGACCAAACAACTTGCAGCAAAAGCAATATGCTTTGTTTGATACCCTTGAATAAATTAGCCAGCTCCTATCTTGTTTATCTCCATTTTTCATCTCTCTTTTGTAATACTTGAGAGAAAAATCTCTCCCATGATCATTCTTTGGAAAAACAAAATCCCTGTGTACTCTTTTCGTAAGACCTGATTTCACTAGAAAAATTTTCAAACTCTGATCAATTGTTTTCCAATTTGCAGGATCAGAATTATCCAAAATCTTCTCTTGTTCTTCAACATTCACATCATCTTCTTTACTCTTGCTCTTCTCTCTCTCAGGCTTATCAATAATTTCCTCTATCTTATCATCTTCTAAAATAGGAGGATTTTCATCAACAGCTCCAGGAGTTCCAATACCCTCATCACTTTTCAGAGATTTTTGAATTTTTTAACATATCTTAACATAGAATTGGCTAGAGATTTTTCTTCTTCTTTTTTTTTCCTTTCTTTTTCCTTTTGAGCTCCTGTTTTACACTTTTTCGTGTAGAAATTCTTAGAAATTTCATGCCAAAAAAATACAGTAAAAATACAGTAATAAACACAAACAATTGAGAAATGAGTAATGAAATTGTGTTTTTGGTTTTTGGTCTCGCGACAGAGAAGAAGAAGAAGCTTGAAAGTCCTTTTTTTTTCTTTGATACACAAAAACAAAGTTTTTAATTTTGTAACTTTTTCTAATTTAATGGGCTCTTGCCTTAATACATTATTTGGCCCATTCAAATTAATATGGATTCTAAAAACCAATGAAAATTATAACTTTGCTAAATAAATTATATATGCACACTAGATTTTGATCCTCGCTTGAGAAGCGCGGGTTTTGTTTTGCTTGTAACAAAATGTATCAAATGATCTATTTCTATTATATGATAGTTTTATATGTGAGATTTGATGTATATTTAACGTTTTAGTAGTGTTTTTTTAATGAGTTTTGATAACCGAGTCAGTTTGTGGTTGAACAGAGAATCAAAAAATTAAGTATTGTGAGAGTATAAAGAATTAAAACACATATTACATTTTGACCCGCGTTTGGATGAGTCCATGGCCAAGACAGTGAAACACATATCAGATTTTGACCCGCGATACTTATATTGAGTTGATCTGTATGATCCACCAGCGGCAGACACACTGAAATGATCAATGTTCCTCCATACTCCAACATGAATATGTTTTGCCATTTCAGGAATGTAAGTCTTGTTACACAAGGCATGGATCTTAGTTCCCTATATAAGAAAAAAACATCATCACTTAGGTTAAACTTTTACAAAATGAAGATATCTAAATCATAAATCTACACAATGATAAACTTAAATTTGCATCACAAAGGATTAGTTCCATGATCTCCCCAATGTCTTTCATGAAATGTCTCTATGTATGAAGGATTTTGACTTGGATGCGACATGCAATCTTCCTTGGTTTTATATCGCTCAAGAAAGACAACTGCAAATTATTCGCCATTTTTGTTTTAGGTTTTTCAAGGAATGATGAATATAGTGATTAGAGAGGCTATATTTATAATAGGTATGGAGGATATAAATTTAGGTTACGCAAATGTAGGGAAAAATATTTAGACGATTTGAAAAAATATCTCTTTTGAGGAATAAGAAATATTTTTTGAAGATATTTTGAATTAGTTAGAAGTTTAAAGTTTAACAGTTAATGGTAATACAACTACGGTAAGTTATCGAAATTTATGGAATCCAAACAAAGAATAACTAACCACGATATTGATTGTTGTTAATCTATAAACTTGTAGATGAAGCAATTTATTTATTTTAGTAGGAAGATAATTATTGAAAATAGTTTTTGCAATATTTTCTTAACAAAACGTATATCGTCTATTAAATGTCACCATGAGATGATAATATATCGACATATTTGATATCACTCGTCTAACTATGGTTTATAAATACGGGTAAATTTAGTGAGACATGAAAACATATTTCATATATGAAGAAAAAACATGAAAT